AATATATATATATATATATATATATATATATATATATATATATGTTTATTTGAGGTTCAGGGAAGTGGAAATCAAAACAACAATGAGATATTCTCTCACCCCTGTCAGAATGGCCATCACTAACAAGACTCAATATAGCAAGTGATGGCGCAGATGTGGAGAAAAGAGACCATTTAAGCACTTTTGGAGGGAATGTAAATTGGTGCAGCTACTATGGAAAACTCTATAGAGGTTCCTCAATCAATTAAAAATGGAACTACTGTATGATCCAGCAATTTCAGTTCTGAGTATTTATCTGAAGAAAACAAAACACTAATTTGAAAAGGGATCTGCACCCCTGTGTTCACTGCTGTATTATTTACAACAGTCAAAACATGGAAACGACCTAAGTGTCCATACACAGGTGACTGGAGAAAGTAGCTGTGGTCTATATATGTAATGGAATACTACTCAGACATAAAAAGGAATGAAATCTTGCATTTGCAGCATCATGGATGGGCCTGGAGAGCATTATGTTGAGTGAAGTAAGTAAGACAGAGAAAGACAAATCGAGTATGATGCCCATTATATGTGAAATCTAAAAATTGTATTAAATTTTTAAATACAACCAAAAAAGCTCCTAGATATACAGAATAGATTGCTCGTTGCCAAGGGCCAGGGGTGGGAGATGGGAGAAACACTCGAACTGCTTGTTTGTTTAAATAAACTGAATTTTAAAGGGAATGAAATCAAGGAAAGAAAGATAGACAAAATGGAAAAAGGAATGAAGGGCATGATCAGTTTCTGCCCCCAAACATAGAAGCAATAAACATTTTGAAAGGAGCTCAAACATGCTGTGACTGAGTGCTTCTACTAGGAGGCATAAATCTGAAAAAACAGAAATGTATGCACATGTTACCAGGACACAAGGAGAAGCGTGTTCATGGCTACATTATTCAAAATTCCCCCCAAATGCAAAGATCCATGTCGTTTACTAGTCAAAAGGGAAAAAAAAACATGTTTTGTGTGTGTACTTTATAGAATTGTGAATTGATAAATTATAATAATATGAGAAATCTTACAAACCAAATGTTGAAAAATAAGTTAAAAGAGACTGTTCCCACTGTGGTTCTGTTTGTATGATGGAAAAAAAAGTAAATGAAACTTACTTGGCATCCTGTGTTTTATTCGGCAGCCTGATTGTCAGGAAGTAGACTGTGTCTTTGATTTACTTGGATTCGTAGGTGGAGAGCCAGGTGGTCAGACGAGCATAGTAAAATCATGGTGGAATTTAAGTGATGTGTATACAGATTTTCCCCCACTGCTTTCACAAATGTCCTTGGATTAATGTTTGCATGTTCATAGAAAGACGTAGAAAATGCCCCTCTGGGTCATTGTTTCAGCCTGTCCCTCTCAGGTGACTCATTTTCTCGGGTTATGACAGATGGCTGGGGAGTGAGGAATGGTCAGGACTCCAGCTGATCGTCCCTGTGCCTCAGGGACCACGAGGCTGTCGCAGCAGCAGCTCTTAATGCACACTGTTCCAGGTAGTTGTCCAGGAAGCCAGTGCAGGTGCCTTGGGGTCTCAGAAAATCCTTGCTGGGACAGAAATCTCGTGGTTTAAAAATTGGAAGAACAAGAGAAAGAAAGAAAAAGAGAGAAATAAGAAAAAAATCTCAATTTGCATCCTTTGGACTTAGTGTTATTAATAGTAATTATAATGTTTGTTTTTATATATTATAAATTTCTATTGATACTGTTAGATATTGAGTCCAGCGTAAGCGAAATGCAAATATAATATTTTAAAAATTTAGTAAGACCCTGATAATCTATAATTTGAATCATTTTTCTCTAAAAAAATACTCCTTTTTTTAGCTCTCCACTGAAAAAACTAGAAAGCAATACCAATGCAGAAGTAATGAGCATTTCCAGAATAAGAATTTCTTATTAAAAGTTCCAGTTCTCAACTGAGAAATGTCTGAATCCAAGATTCGGTAGGAGAGGTTCAAAGATAAACTGATGACATCTTGTCTTGGCTGAAAGCAAAGAAGCTGTCAGAGACAACTGAAGTCACTCAAATGACACAGAGACCAGCTGGCAGAGGCTCTCACTGGCCAGAGAGAGGACAGTGCAAACAAAAGAACAGCCCCTACATAAAAAAATTGGAAACATATAAAAATGCACAAGTTCATTGATAATAA